TTTCAAATCCCACAATTGTTTGAGAATCTTGGAGCAAGATAACCAACGTACCTCGGTATAGTAGGACAAACCAGAATATTCACTATCTAACTCACTTAAGAAAGCAGTAAATTGACGTTGATTTAAACCTCGAGATCTTATAAAATTTATAACTTTTTTTATATATGAGAAAACATTCTCCAGATTTATTACTTTCATGCATAGAACTTCTTGATGTATAATACAATGCATATGATGAATGTTTGAACCGTGAATTTCACTAAGTTTTTTTCTTAGTAATGCTACGAAGCCCTTGTTTTTCCCAGTCATTGATGGAGCGCCATCTGTAGCTAGAAAATTTAATTTTGCCAAAGGTAGATTGTATTTCTGCAAAAGTCCAAAAACACAAGTAAATATATCTTCTCCTATGGTAGTACCGGGCATCGGTATTAGTTCCAGTAATTCCTCAAAAATGTTAAAATTCTTGTCACAAGAACAAAGAAACACTGCTAATTGAGCTTTGCCACTAATGTCTGTGCTCTCGTAACAGGCAATGGAGAAACTTTCGAAACTAGATGATTTTGCTTTGATCTGATCACTTAAATTCGCGGCTAAATCAGTAACTCTTTCCGCAACTGTATTTCGAGACAATGAAATTTGATTGAAAAGCCTTCACATTTCCAGGACAAAACAATTTCTCAGCTTTCATTTCATTAGGCATTCCTTGATGAAATCACCGTCAGTAAAAAGGCTTCGAATGTTTAGCTATCAACTCGGACAAGACGTAGCTTGCATGTATCGCCGCTTCACTTTCTTGCAATACTTTACTAAACATGGACTGTTGCTTTTTCACTCCTAACTTGAGCTCTTTCAACTTTTCTTCTCTCATTAATCCTTCGTAATCGTTATATTTCAATTTGTGCTGTTTGTAATGACGTTTAATATTATATAACTTTGATACATTAATAGTATTATTACATAACAAGCAGATAATTTTATCTTTTATTTCACAGCAAAAATATTCTAATTCCCATTTTACTTGGAATATTTTATGTTTGTCAGCGATTTTTCATTTAATTTTACTACCACTTGGTTTGATATAGACATACTGAATACAAAGGGCTGGAATAAACATAGTTAACGTTAAAAAGTTAACAAAAATTCATTCTTTCCACAAGAGATAAATCAAAATGCTGAAATATTTCTTCAAAAATATTCTACAATATCACAAAATGTCAAACGTTTAGCAAAAATCAATTCAAAACAGAGAAACTAATTCTATCTCACAGCAAAATCGCTACAAATCAATCACAGCATTAAGTAAACAAACAGTTTGCTAGAACTACAGCTACTACTGAGATGAGTTGTTTGTTCTCGGCTTTTATAAGCTTTATAATTAATTTCTTGAATATACTGGAAACATCTATAAATATCTGGATTTTTGTGGATGGCAACAGCAATTACGAAATATTTATTTATTAGGTATTAAATGCACGCGCTGTTCTATTTTTAACCTTCCAACGCAGCTGTCTTTTCAAAAATCGTCTGCGTTGCTAAGGCAATATGAAGCAAATCTAATTACAATTCTAAATAAGAAAAACTAACTATATAAATAACTATGAAATTCGTAACAATATGAATTAAGTAATAATTAATAATAAAGCAAAGTGCATGCACATGCATGAACCAACATATCGTACAAAACTATGATTGGAAAACTGAGACCATGAGTTCGGCCACATTCGGCTATCGGGGGATGCGTACAAGTTCCCGAGTGCACGTGTCCCTCAAAAGCCGAAGGTAGCTGAACGCAAGCTACTCACACGTATTTGTAATTTAAGTAGTGTATGTGTCAGCTCGCTGTGAGTAATCTAACAACATTGAATAAATTATCGTTAATTACTTAGCAGTAAACATGTAATTTTTTTCTTCGTTGATATGTTATTTTATTATTATATATTATTATTTGCCGATATATTGGCAGGGCCACAAAAATATTTGTCGTGGGCCACGAGTTTGACATCCTTGCTGTACAGCATCAGAGCCATGCCATTAAATTTTAATATCTGAAACTAACCTCATAATTGCTTTTCCTATATATTTTTATAACCTTTCAAATCTTTATTTATAAAATACTAGAAAGCCTAGTGGTTATATGAAATGACCGCTGTTCTAGATATTATAAATTGTAATTAAAATGATTTGTGCAAAGGTGCTGCTAATTCAAACTGAATTACCCAGGGCAGGCGGCGAGGACGTCCCTTTGCTTACTGCCCCATGGGTTTCCTTGTACTTGCTTAATTGCTTAAAGTAGAGTGCAATGAAGGAAACCACTGGCGGTACATTTCTTAAGAGCCACCGCTAGCTCAATAAATAAAGGTGATTTAAATAATAAAATGTTAATTCACATGTCAAAGATCTCTTTGTACACAACATTTCTTGTGTAGATCTTTCCATCATTCTTAAGCTTGCTTTGCAGAGAACCATCCGTTATTTTTAATTTTATGTCCGTTCTTTCACAAACTCTTGAACAGGCAACATAAAGTTAATCGTGTCCAAATGCAGGCCCAGGTAAAAAAAATGCCAACACGCTTAAGCGTTTTGCACTGAGACTTATTGATGGTCATGGCAAAAGCAAGTTTCACAGGAAATTGTCATCGGAAAACGGCAACCCTCTGCCGTGGTAAATTCACCCCATTGGCTAGTACAGTTACGCAAGCAACCAATAAACTATTGATGACAAACAGACACTTAACCCACATATAATAAAGATATTTATTTATTTCATTTTATTTGTTTTTCCATCATTACTCTGGATATCATTATTTCAGGTAACTAGAACTCCTCTCCGGTTTCATACATGTGTTAAACGAGAATAGTAAGAAAACATGCACCTCATGTTACCTATCTTTACATTAAAACATGTCTTCTGAATCCTTATCTTTGTTCTGTAAAATCACATTAAAATAATTCCAAATAACCAAGTTGAAAGATAATTCTCATTTTCATTCTATATTTGCAGAAATTTGTGGATAGCAAAGAATCTTCCTTGATTTTCTCACGTTCAACAGAGTTCATTCATTTCTGCTATTTTTTTTATGATAATTGTTTCATTCTTAATGAATTCTTAATAATATGTTTTCACTTTAAGTATGATATATGAATTATTACTGCTATTATTCAGGTCAGTATGCAATAAGGTTTTAATCCCTGCAAGTATTGATTAAAATATGGAACTTATGACGTTTGCCATATAAACAGCTGAGTTTCATTCAGTTTATTGTAGGAGCTACGAGCTACTAAGAGTACTTAAGCACTGCTATGAAGGTAAAGTACAGCATATACTCTCAGAAGAGAGTAATACAGACTTTCTACAATTCAGCTTTGGTAATATAAATTGTTTTATGAACTGGAATTATTAATTCATGCAAATTATGCTTTTGCATAATTAATTGTTTAAAGCAGTATTAAATTTAAACTTAACTGTTAAAAGAGCAGCAAAATGCATTTAGGGAATACAGACATATTTAAAAAAAGTGATTCACATAAATCAGCTAATGAAGGAAATTATACAGTTTTTTACTTAACACAATTATTTAAATCTCTTGAAGCTCTACAGTGTAAGAAAGTTATTTTAAATTTACAGTTTAAAGATTGCATAAAATTGCAATTTTCAATGGAGAAATAATGATGAAGCAGAATGCAGTAAATATAAATTTCCTGGATTTATTTTCCAGAGCCATGGATTTGATGCACTGATTTCCGTATCCACAACTATTCATTCTGTGTTGCAAATTAAGTAACAAATCACTAATTTGAAGACTATGCTTTTTATTCAAAATGAAACATTTCATTATATATATATATATATATATATCTATATATATTAAAAGTAAATATCCTATGAATATAGTACTAAACTGGCTTTTCTTTCTTGTAATTATCAAATCTAATAATTTTCTGGAGGAAAAACAATCAGGAAGAGAGAAATGAAGAAGAAAATAATTAAAACAAAAGCCAAACAATTGGAAAAAATATTGCAAAACAAATAGAATTTTTTAAAAATATTTCTATGTAAGAGGGGGTCAAGTGTTAAATTAAGAAGTTTAATTAAGTTTTTAATAAGGTGTAATAAGAACTCGGATTTTTAATGCAGCTCAGAAATTCTGGAAAAATATGATGTGTCTTTGAACATTACAGTCTAAAGAAAGCAAGCAAAATTATGTAGCTTCTGGACATGTTATACTCAAAAGTATTTGCAATGTAACATGCTTTGAAAATAACCATATGATCACTTCTGGATCATATATAATAACATTCTGCATTTGCAGGTACACTGTGTTTTTTATACAGATATGTAATAATTTATAAATAGATCGAAGTTACATAACAACCTTAGTAGGATGAGAGAATTTTAACAATTTTGAAGATTATACAAATATTTTAATTCCTTGAAGAGTATAACTTCTTATTGAATTAATAAAACATAGTTATAGTTACTTACTTTACTGAAGCAATTCTCTAAAACAGGAGTACTACGCCATTACACTAATAATTTAAAAAGTATTACAGTGTTGCACGACATCCAATCATATCTTTAGTGACATTATATTCATGCCATTTTATATGTTATATTCATGTCACTCTATGATGCTATGTCAAAGTCACAATGCAACATTACATGAGTGATGCAGTGTGACCTTACAAGAACATCACAGCTTGACTATGCATCAGTATCATATATGTCTTCACAATAATGTCATAATGCGTTGTCACGTAAACATCGCAGTGTGACAACATATAACCATCAGACATAACAAAACGTGGACAATAAGCCATGTCTACAACGTCCTGGTGACACTGAGATCATCACAGCATGACACATTTGCAATGTGACAGTAATTTCGCTGTTCTGTTGGGGTAGTAAAAATTTTTAGTGTAGTTTTCATGGAAAGTTTAAAGCTTAGCTGAAAACATAATTACAATTTATGTAAACTAATTTAAAGTGCATATCACCTTACCATTGTTATGCCTAGGCTCCATACATCTGATCTTATATCATATCCTTGTTTATTATCAACTGGATCTATTCGCTCAGGCTGAAAAATGAATAAAACAATGATTTTTATTGAGCAAATTTCATTCACATACTTTTCTTTTAACATACATGTACCAGAAAGAAATTAAATGTGTATGACTAAGCAAAATGTTTATCAATAGCATTTTCGGGTCAGATGTTACTATGCTTAACTTTCTTGAAAGTATACTTGAAGGAAACGTGAGAGTTTCAGAAATGTGATAAATAACAGGCTAACAATCTGCTGCAGTTAATCATCAAAACAGTTTTATGGAAAATTTGCAGGTTAGTTACTTTCTATTCATTAGGTTACATAGTGAGGAGGGGAATGGAAAGTTTGAATAAGGAAGGTATTCAAAATAAAATTAATTAAACACAAATAGTAATATAAGCAAACTGTAATGTAACTGCTAATGTATTGCTTCCCTCAGCAGCCATACATTAGCAGTTCTTAACTAGCTTTCAAGTTAAATGCTGATAATAAAGCAACATACTGTTATATAATTACTGCAGTGCAGGCATATTATTTAAAAAGTGGAAAAAATTATGAAAATTTTTCATATCCTAGGTAAATATTTCTGAAATATTCAATTTAAATTTAAAAAAAAACTTATGCATATAATTATTTGTATTTGACTTACAGCCATATAAGGTTTGCAGCCAGCATCTATAGTTTTTGCTATAGAATCTTCTAAATAACCAGATATTCCAAAATCACATAATTTGACTGCCCCACTGCGACTAATAAGGATATTTGAAGGCTTAACATCCCTATGAATTACTTTTAAATTGCTATGTAAGTAATGCAGAGCACTAACAACCTGAAAAATACAAGAATTTTTATAAGGGCTATCAAGATTAAAGAAATTAGTAACATACATATTTAAAAAAAAAAAAGTCTTCATATAAATCCTAAAGCAGTATAACAATTAAATAACAAGAAAGTACATTTATTATTATATTTTATTTTTTTAAATAGAATATCATAAACTAATGCATATTACTTGAATTACAAATCTCATACATTTATATAAGCAAGAAATGGTTTTATAGCCTTTTAATGCCAAAAGAAACTTTCTTCTTAAAAGCTATCTTAGTTTTGAGAATATATAAGAATAATAATAATATAATAATAATAATAAAAGTGGATAAAACTAGAAAATAAGAAGGATGGTTGATGGCTTTTCACATAAATGGTGCAAAATGCAGTGTTCTTAGCAATAAAAATTATCTGCTTTGCCAGTGGAAAAGACTTTTTAAATTACAATGATACAGAAGAAAGGTTAAAAAAAAAAAAAAAAAAAAAAACATTATCTAATGCCTATACTACATTTCAAACTGGTATTGTTTATCCTGGTAGTATCTGTTTACCAAAGAACTAAAATGTATGCTGATGCAGACCGACAGCCTTTTTAGTTCTCTCCTACCATTTGTGTCAGTAAGTGTGAAAAAAGAAAGATGAGAATGCCTCTACTAAGACTGGTGATGGCTAGAAATCTCAGCTTGAGATGACTGTTCATAATCCCTTAAAAAAACTGCCATTCAGTTGTGCAATACTTACAGTTTTCTAATGGATATATGACACTCAATAATTTAATAGAAACAAAGCACACAAGGCCTACCTCTCAAGGGCTGATTGATTGAATTATTGTAAAGCACATGGGGGTTATCTATTTTAAGTCAATGAATGTCTCTTTGGCTCATTATTTAAAGGTAACTGGATCTTTAATGTCAATCATGCATATTCAGAACACATATAGAAAACCTCACAAAATGTACATGCAGCACCCTACTCGCTGGGATTCAAAACCAGACTGAAATGATGTTCTTTATGATCATCTATATAGCTTCCTAATAGATTTTTCATGATCTTAAAGAAATTTAACATAACATCTTATAAAAATATAGAGTAATAGTTCCAGTTTGACACAAGCTTTTAGGTTTAAAAAATTAAAATCCCTTTTTAGCCCTTTTTAGTGTCGTTTTGCGAAACTTTATGATTAGAAGCAAGTAAATGAACTTATTCCAAAAAATTTAACTAAACAAACCTCTGCATTAAAATTAATGCACTTCTAATTTTAGAAATGATACACTATTGTAAGAATAAAATAACAATAGTATTTAAAAAAATAATCACATTTTTACAATTTAATTTTTTAAACCTAGAAATTTATTTTTTGAGAGATTTGATAGAAAGGACAATTATATGATGTCATACATATCTGTAAATATTTAAATCCTTTTTATTGCATTGTTGTATTATTCAGTTGTTAGCCCAAAAGGGCTATTAGTCTCAAACCTGAATTTTTCATCAAATTACTTTTGATGTTCATATCACTTTTCAAATAAACAGATACAGCAGCATTGGTTAACCTACACGAAAAACAGAGCTCCAAATGAATTGTACTAGTTGCTAGAATTCACTTCAAGTGCTTTTAAAAATATCATGTGATCGGAAGTTTCACAGCTCTTGAATCAACCAATGAATTTTGAAAAAAAAATTTTTTTTACGTTATGTGGGAAAATAGAATAGTAAAAAGAAAGATTAGTCATACCAGTGAGTACAAAAAAAGACTGATCAACTGTAACGTTAGCAAAAGCACATAAAAGTTAAAAAAAAAAAAAAAAAGTTTTGGGTTGTACCTGAACCTTTTTAGATTTTACTTGACTTATTTTGCATTTGTGACCAACACATATGCTTTTATGCATTTGTTTCATGGAATTGTTGATTTTGTTGTTCAGAGAATGGCAACATTAAGAATGCAAAAGTGAAACATGAGAAATTCTGCTCACAGGCCTTGCTGAAGCTTGTGCTACCTTAGATAAGTTATTATTGTTACTGTTCTAGTGGTTATTTAACTATGAAATTTAGCATTATTGCGAGTTCACTCTATAAGTGATTCTGAAAATTTCTGATATTTTCTGTGCACTAAGAAGGAACTGTTTATTACCCACATTCCACTTGAGCTGTTTGAAGTTATTTACTGTAATGTTTGTAATTAATTTTTTAATAAATTGCTAATTTCTTCTTTTTACACAAAGTAATTATTCACAGAGATACAATCAAACTGGTAGCTTGCAAAAATATTAAGTTACAAAAAAATTTCGCAAAAAAAATAAAAATATTGAATTATTAAAAATACTTACAGCAAATGCTATTTTAGCTAGCACTTCTTCTGGTATAGTTTCCTTAGCATGGTACACTTTTGGATAAAATTTATCTAGTGAAGTGTCCATAACTTCCATGCATATCCACACATCACCCTGAAAAAATAAATCAAAATTACTGTATGAGAGAGAGAAGGTTTAGTATTATTAGGTTATTCCAGTATTGTCCCACATGCTGTTTCATTGCCTCAGCTTTTTCTAAACATGGAACTTTTACAGCATTACAGATAATACTAAGTTGAGACAGCTTTATTCTTAGGAATTTTCATTGTAAGAACATTTTATGTAGGTTTAAATCATTCTTTGTTATTACAAAAGTCACTTAAAAGCACAATAACCACATTATGCTTTATGTGCTCAAAAAAGGTAATTATGTTGCTAATACTGCAAAACTGTTCACAGGCCAGCATCAATAGTAGTTGTCAAAAACAGAGCCTTTAAAATTTCATGCATAGTTATTGTTTGTGAGAAGCACACTGCAACTCAGCTCTTCTCTAACTACAACACACTTCAAACGAGCGGCGAGCGTGATGTATCCCATGACATGTTAACGACGTATTCTTGAGAGATTAAATTTGAATTGTAATTTTTAATGGTGTTTTAAATATATTCTAGTGTTCATCTATGTGTGGTCTGTTCTTTTAGCTACACTGTTTTTATTTGAATGCTGATTCAACATTGAAGAAGGAGATACTGTCACCCCGGGAAGAAAAGGTAGGCTGAATTTTGATATTCCTATTGAAATAAAAACAACTCAAAATAAAAAAAAATTATTAATTTTTAACAGTAGTCTTTACTTTCAAGATATTTAATCTCCCATTCTGATATGTGCAGTCATTAATACTAAAAAATGCATATATCACATGAATGTTATGCATTGAAGGCATAACAGAATAGAAATCAAAACTAGATTTTTACTTCCTGAAGGTTTTCAGTGCATTTTGGAGGGACATGATGAATCATTCATTCAATGCGAACTTTTAAACACTCATAACAAAACAGTCATAGCTGACATATACTATGAATAATTTAATGAAATGAGTTGGATTAAATGGCAAAAGCATACAAAGTCTATATTTCTGTTACTATCTGAGATTTGATCAAAAGAACCAAAAGAGGAAGCTGAGGAGAAAATTGTAAATCAAAATGTACAGTTTCTTATTTCAGTAACACTATCTCCTATATTGAAAGAAAATCAGTACCAAAATTATGGAACTTGGCTCAAAGAAATACCCAGACATATCACATTTTTCTGATCTTGCACATTCAGAATACTACGTATTTTGAAGCCATGAAATTTCATCATTAATAATTAAGTTATATATCAGAAGCACCGAAACTGAGCTAAGATTACCTAAATTCTACAGATATGGCACAATGAAGCTTTTTTAAAAAACTGAAGTGTTATTGGTACATATATAGAATATACAGTTGCTATCCTAGAAAATAGGAAAACTGGGAGATTCACATGAAAAAAACCTGGGAGTTTTGCTGGAGGCTTATGTGCTTATCTCATTTTAAAAGAACTCTAAATTCACTTCATAATACAGGATTATGCTTACATGAACTATTTATTAATATGATTCTGATGCAAAACAGGGTTGGCAACTATTTTTTTCTTGCAGATATGTGAACGGATCACAAAACATATATGTGTCGTGTGGAAGTTCTGCAGGCATAGTGTGTATGCAGAACAACAGATGGCTCTGTGGTAGCGAGGGCTCTGAAATCAGTCAGTTGATGAGTGTCGTGCGAGATGGAAATAACCAGTGTTGAGCAGCGTGCTTGCTCAAAATAGCCGTTCTCCGAGGGAGAAATGTGATGGAATGTCACAGTGAATTAGTAAAAGCCCTTGGGAATAATGCCCTACCATATCGTACAGTAGCACGGTAGGTAGAAAAGTTTTAGCAAGGACATGTGTCAACCAGTGATGAGCAACGTTCGGGACAACCGGTGAGTGTGCGGACCGACTTGGCATGTGCCATCATCAAGCACCTCATGGATTAAGACAGACGATGGACGTTACTGGAGTTAAAGAGGGCAAGCGGCATCAAGAAATGCACCGCCCACAAGATGTCGCATAATGAGCTACAGCTATGCAAAATCACTTCGTGGTGGATACCGCATGCACTGACAGAAGTTCAAAGTTAGGTGTGCTATGCAATATGCTCCGACCACTTTGCACACTGGCAACAGGACGGCAATCAATTCTTATCATGAATAATCGCCATTGGTGAATTTTGGGCCAGGGCATACGAACCAGAACTGAAACGTCAGTCCGCAAAGTGACGACATCCTGGATCACCAAGCCAGCAGAAGGTCTGTCAGAATCCTTCCCCAGTCAAATTGATGGTGATCGTCGCATATGGCATCAGGGCTGTCATTGTTTGCCACTTTGTTCATCATGGCAGAACAATGACCACACAGTACTACAGGGACTTCCTGGTGCAACAAGTATGACACGGCATTCGGGATAAATGTCTGGATCTTGTGGACAGTGCAATAATTCTACACGACAATGCAAATCCAGTAGTCGATGGTCGTCGCACTATTTATCTTAGGCAATATTTTTATATTTGCTTAAATTCTTACTAAAGTATTTTCGTTATACTGATTATAAACAATCCGTTTCAATACATAAAACATCAATATTTTGTGCAATTTTCATTTAACATGCTAACGCATAGCTTCCAACCTTCAGCAAACCTTGTCAGTAGTCAACGCGCGAACGACATTTTTACAACTTTGAAAATGTGCGCGTAGCGTATGTTGTAATTAACCATTCATTAATTTTAAATTAATAATTAATTGTAATCAATTTTATTACATTTAAAATCCATATACATATAAAACTGAATAATTAAAAATATACCTTGTAAATTATATGCACATTTAATTAGAAATTTTCTTTTAACTCCTCAAGCATTCACTAATAAAAAGTACTTCAAATCACTACTAATCATAGAAAAAATCAGAAGCTATAAATCATATCTTTATTCTGGATATGATTTCTACAGGGAAATAAAATTTAAATAACCAAGAATGATACATATAAGTATTAAACAAAATACGCATAATTTATGAATGCAAAGATTTATATGTAGCATGCTTAGCAAGCTTAAGTTCTGATTTTGAGAATGTTTTTTTATAACACAGTTCTTCATTTGCCTGCATATTTATTTTTTCAATCAAAACTGCTTCAAGAGTTTTAAGACCTAAATTTGGTCGAAATTCCGTCTGATTTTTTTTAACAATAGAAAAAATTCTTTCGCAAGCTGCATTTGAATGAGGTATTATTAAGACAGCAAGCATTACAGAAGGCAATACTTTGTATTTAATACACCCATTCATATTTTTTAATTTGGCAATTTCTCCCCATGCTATATCAATACGCAAATCTACAATTTCTTTCAAATCATCTACTTGATACATGGAAAATTCAATTTCTACTTGATTAAGACATTTTTCATCAATAATGGATGGAAAAGTATTCATCAAGTAAAGAACAGATGAAAATGAGACTTCAGTTCTCAAGTTGATGTCAGCAACTTCAGCATGTTTTAGAAATGGATCACTCAGTGGAAATTTATCAATTATATATGAACATGCAGTTACAAAAAAAGCTCGCACACAGAATTGAAAAATGATTTCACTTCACTTTCATTCAACTTGGCATTTTTTAAATATAGTCTTGTTTCCGCACCAATCACTAAATTTTCATTTTCTTTTTGTTTACTATACTTCTGAAATGGAATAGACGTTAGAGTAACATCTTCATTTTCTTTAGAAATTACTGATGGTTTTACGAATCTAACAAATAAATTCATTAAAAGTTCAAAAAGTTCTCTTCTCAATTTATGTATATAAGGAGCTTGTTGTTGCAAATTAATATTTACTGTTATAAACAAAGGCAAAGTATTTTTCAAAAATAACAAGTACAATTTGGTGGTCGGTGACTGTAAAATTTTTTTAATGTTTTGCAATCTCTTTCCTTCATTCTCACTGTTATCTGGTTTATCTCCAAAAAAATTTATCACAGCATCCCACTGTTCCAAAATCCTTGTTATAGATTCTAAAAGAGACAACCATCTCGTACTGCAATATTTCAAAATTTTATGAGATTTTGCATTCTGTCCCAAAATTTGTTGAGCAACTTTGAAGCTATGCTTCCGTTTCGAACTTTTCTCCAAGTAAAAATATATATCTATTATCAACATTTCAATTTCTGAGCCAATTAATTTTTCAGTAGCTTTTTTTGCAGCTATATGCAAGAGGTGGCACGGACAACCTCGGGTGATTATACTTGGTTGATGCATTTTGATAAATGATGCTACACCTTTAAACTTTCCAATCATATTACTAGCATTATCTGAAGAAAATGATAAGCAATTTTTCCATTCTAAACCTTTGTTTTTAAAGTTTTCATTTATACAATTAAAAATACCTTCTCCTGTATTATTCGTGCATTCTAAAATAGAAATCAATGAAGTAATTATCACTCCCTTTTCTTTACTGTAGTATGTTATAACCAATGGGTACAGTTTGTTATCATTGTTATCATTACTTCCATCAGTACTTAGAGAAAATGATGTACTGCACACTGATTTTATAATATCAGCAACAGTATTTTCTGCAAGCGTTTTCACAATAGCAGCAGTTTTGGTATGACCGCAGCTAAATTTTTTTGCTATGGCAGAATCCGGAAACATTGCTTTGAAAAGCTCTTTGGAATGATCCGAAACAGAAAGCGGTAGATTATGTTCAATTAAAAAACGAACAAAATAGCATTCGGCTTTTATAGGATCTGTTTCATCATCATCTTTTATTAAGAAATTTGTTATTTCTTTAGATTTTACGGTGCCAAGTTCTATATGCTTTTGAGAAAACACATGCCGTTTACAGTCATCTTTTCCGCCATGAGCAACTGAGAAGTCTTTGTTGCATACACTGCAGTGTGCGTGATTCACAGAAATTTCGGACGCTTTAATGCATGGAAATTCTGAAGAATATGAATCTTTAAACTTCTGCTTTGATAATTTTGGCTTCTTCGTTCGAGGCAGCATTATGATTAAAAATCTTTCACCTGATTCACAGTT